GGCCTGCCCTGGCACCTGGCTGTGCTGGCCAAAGACCGGGGCCTGCTCAGGGGCAGGCCCAGGGAGCCTCTCTGCAGGACTACTCCACCTTGGGGCTCTGCCGGCTTCCACTGGGGACCCTTCCAGCTCTGTCCCAGCCTCCCCTTGGGGCACTTCTTGCTCGCTCTTGTCCTCCACCTGGGACACGTCTCTGTCACCTTGCCCTTGGCACAGCCACAGCTCTTGCTCCACGTTGTCTTTCTGCTCCTCCTCTTCCATGCTCAAGGCCCCCTCCTGGCTCTCGGGCCCTGCAAGGACTGACACGCCCACTGGCCCTGCCCCCTGCTCACTCAGGCCATGGGCTTGCAGCAAGCTGGCCAAGGGGCTGGATGGGCAGCAGGGGCTGGCTGGGGCAGCTGCCTGGCTCTCTTGGCCTGCAGCTCTCAGCTGCTCGCCACAGGCAGGAGAAGCTGCTGCCGTTGCCGCCTCTTGGGCCTGGGCAGCAAGAGGTGCACGCTGCTCCTCTTCCTCAGCAGCTCTGGCCAGCTCAGCACCTGCTGCCTCAGAGTCCGTGGCACCAGCGGGGGCAGGAGACGTGCTGGGCAGCTCACCAGCTGCCTGTGCTGCTGCCTCGGTGCCCACAGTGCTGGGACAGCTGGGCGGCTGCTGGGGAGAAGTGCCGGGGACCCCCTCGTTCACCGGGCCTAAGGGCTTGTCCCCCATGTTGGAGCTGATGTCTCCTTCCCCTTCACACTGCTCTTCCTTCTTGCCATCGTCCTCTTGACACAGCTCCTCCTTCTTCTCCTCTTCTCCTTGCCACAGCTCTTCAGCACCGCTGACTTCCCCTTGGCACGGCTCTTCATTCTTCTCCTCTTCCCCTTGGCACATGTCTTCCTCCCTCTCATCTTCTCCTTGCCCCACGGCTCTGCTATTGCTGGCTTCCTCTAGGGACAGGTCTTGCTCCATCTCATCATCCCCTTTGGAAAGCTCTTGCTCCTCACTGTCTTCCCTTTTGGACAGCTCTTGCTCTGCCTTCTTTTCCTCTTCGCACAGCCTTTGGGCAGCGACACCTTCCCCTTGGCAGAGCTCTTGCTGGCCATCACCTTGCTGCTCTTGCTGTTGCTCGGCCGAGGCCCCAGCGGTGTCGGGGAAAGTTGCTTGCAGCCACTCCAGCACCTTCTGACGGCTGGAGATTTCCCCCAGAAGCTGCAGCCTGGCTTGGCACAGTGGAAGCGCTCTGCCCTCGGCACTGCCGCGCCGCCTCTCCTGCCGCTGCTGCACAGGCTCAGGCTGGGGCACAAGGCTCCCATCCTTGGCGGGTTGGTGTTGCGGCGGCACAGATGGGCCGCTGAGGGTGTGTCTCCTGTGGAGCCTGGCCAGTGCTGGGCCTTGCTCTGACGCTCTTCTCCTGTGCTCTGGCTCTGCCTCCCTGCCCAGGGAAGCTGCCACGGGCAGGCTGCGTGACCGTGACCGGCCAGCTTGTGGGGCCAGCTGCTGGCTGAGCCTGGGGCTCCCCGGGGAGATCTCGGGGGAGACGACTCGCACGGCGATGAGGCCCCGGGGCTTCACAGCCGCGTCCTGGGCCATGCAGTGGCACACCAGCCTCCATATCCTCAGCCTCTGCGAGCGCTCGGTCTCGGCAAGGACACTGAGACGCTTCCTGGGTCTCTCTTGGCCTGGCTGAGCTCTGCTGCTCAGGCTGTGCTTCTTGCGCACCGCCTGCACTGCCGGCTCCTGCTCTGCCGCTTGCCTGTGCTGCCGTGTCCCTGCTTGGCTGCCCAGGGAAGCTGACACGGGCAGGCTGAGGTTGCGGCCCTGCTGTGCTGCCGCCTGCTGCCCGGGGCTCTGGCTGCCAGGGCAGCCCTTCGGGGACATGTCTGGCCCAGGCACACGGCTCCTGGGCTTGCCAGCTGCCTCCTGGCCTTGGGGGCGGCGCGGGGCAGCCCTCAAGCTTTGCAGCCTGGGGGCTGTGCCCTGCTCAGCGCGGCTGCCCCGAGCAATAGGCACAGGGGGGAGGTGGCTGCTGCTGGCCGTGGCCATGCTGGCTGTCCTGCGCCTGGCAGCAGCAGCCCAGGCTGCTGGGGGCAGAGGAGGCAGTTTGCAGGTGCCACTGGCAGCCTGGCTGTGCCGTGGGGCCACCAGCGGGATTGATGGCAGACGCACCGTCTCCTCCTGGCTCAGCCCAGAGCGGGGCAGGGACAACCCTTGCACTGGGCTCCTCGGCAGCAGGGGAGGCCCCAGAGGGAGCTTACCTGAGTGCATCCCTGGCCCCAGCCTCCGGCCTGGGCCTCCCACCTGCCTGGCAGCAGCTGCTCTGCTTGGCAAGAGCTTTGCTGCCATCTCCCCCTGTCTTGCAGTCTGTGGGCCAGTGCTCCTGGTGTCCTGGGAGCTCTCGGGGCAGGGCAGCCGTGGCAGCCTTTCCCCTGGCAGGGGCAAGGCCTGGCTCTGGCTGCCCTGCGGCGCTACCTGTGTCTGCCTGCGCATCACCGGTGGCAAAAAGGACTGGTGGCGTGGAGGTGGCTGCCTTGGCACAGCACCAAGGCCGGCCTGGGCAGCCAGGGAGCTGCGGCTGGGCCTGTCCCACTCCCGGCCTCTGCCGGCTCCCCCATCCCTCTCCGGGCGCCTCCTGTTGAGGTTGGGCAGCCCCTG